CAATCCAAATTGAAAAACATTATTTGGCAATACTATAGAAATGAAATACTCAAGGTACCAAGTTTTTGAACCTGTTCAAAGCACTCGTTGAAGCACGTGTTTGAAACATTGCATCGCCTTTTTAATTAAAGCGGATTTTTCGCGCTGTAATTGGTCGAGAGCTAAAAGTCGATGAAAGTACAGACCTTGGAAAAGATGTGACGATGTTGCAATTTATTTCCCACTCTCTTGCCCGCGCAAATCCCGGAGAGACTTCAACAGAAATGGACGTCAAAAACTGTCAATGTTATTGCGGCTCGTGGTTCTCACTGGGGCTTTTAAAAATGGACCACAATTTTCTATGGAGCGTTTTCACTCCCGTGACCAGCATCTATCTGAATTTATTGGAAAAAAAGGAGTGTTTACATAAGAAAATTGTTCAAGTCATAAAGGATTGTCAAAGTTACTGCACAGGCGAAACCCAAGCACGCGAGCGGCGAGTGGTGAAGCGATAAACGAGGGTGTGAGCCCTTTATTGTAACGTAATGTTGTGGTTTGCTTTTGCGTTGGCTGAGCTAAGAAGTGGATGGGTTTTTAATAAGAGAAAAAGTCTGACACCATCATGGCCGCCATGACGTCATGCGAAAACCCTTGCAAGAAAGAGAACCCTGGGAACGAGGTTGTATACTCAAGCTGAGAGAACCCTGGGAAAGAGGTCACTCTTTCCTCATTAGTTTCGTTAGTAAAATTAGTAATCAATGATAGATGACGTCAAAATGTTCAAAAATAATAACGTGGAACAAGGAGTTGCAGTCGAATGGTGCGCCTGCAAAGTCTTGAACATTTTGTGGTCAATTATATGGTATAGACCATGGGAAAGTGAGTCAGACCTGTATGGAATAATAACGATGTCATATTTCAAAGACCTTATAAAAACTCCGGCGAAAAAGCTAGGGAAGTCCCATGCAAGAAACAAGAAATTGCGTCATTTTGATTGTCCTCTCAGGCAGTAACTCCCTACATATCTGTAAAAAAGACGTAGAAGATGAAATACACTTTTTAACTCTGTGCCCTGCGTATCAAGAAAAAAGAAATACTTTATTTGAATACTTAAACAAAGAATACAGAATATCAGTAAACAGAATGGCACCAGATGATGTTTTTATGTTGTTAATAAACCTTCCGAGCAAGAACAAACCAGTGCAAAAGTTAATTGCAAAATACGTATTCGACTGCTATGAGAAAAGAAGCTCATTAGTTCTTTAGGTTAACATTGATTATAGTTCCACTAGTGTGCAATGTGTGTTATGATTTTAAATTATTTGGATAAAGTCGATGTACATAGGACTGTATAAGACTCCAAATAAAGCATTGTCTTGTCTTGTCTTGTCTATCACCTCCCGCCCCCCGCCCCTCTTTGAAACGAGAAGGGAACTGGAGCCGAAATGCGTCGCGCAATCGTTTCTGGGATCCCAACTGGTGACGTGTCGGTCAGCTATTGGCCAATTTTTTTCCCTTTCTCTCGTAAGTCATTCGGCCCGGTTTCCTCCCTTCTAAAGCGGCGAATGACAGTTCAGGTTTGTAATTTTGTAAGTTCTTTTATTCTTATTTTGTGAGATCGTTTCTTCCCTGTTCGGTCGTGGAGACAAAGAGCATGGAAGGGAACAGACTTCAAACTAACAGCATCATTTATTGAATTTCAACTACATTCTATGCAATATTTAGTGGTGTATAACCCTTGAAGCCCTACTAGAGTCTACCATCTTATTTTTCGTTAGAATTTTCATACCTAATCGCCTCTAAAGGTAAGGTTATACGAGACGATTCGCAACGACGATTTTTAGTGCAACACAGCGTTGCAACATTGTTGCGAATAGTTACAACATTGTTCCAACATTGCCATGCTGTGTTGCACTAAAAATCGTCGTTGCGAACCGCCCCGTGTAGCATCACCTTAAAGGTCATGAGAAACGGAAAATATCAACAAAGAAATTCTCCTCATTGGTATCAGAGTGGAGAGAAGTGAGGAGAATATGGATACTGATATTAGGGTTTTTAGGGTTTATTTCCCATTCTACTTGTGCTTAGCACTTACATTCTATTCCTCAGAACTTTAGTTGTAGAAAACTTTCAATCATCCAAGTTAAATGAAAGTGTGTGCATCTATTATTTACTTTTAAAATATTCTGAATTACTATTTACTACTTCTTCGTGCAACAGGGAAATAAATTGTCTTTAAAAGCTAAAACTTAGCCCGTCTAATTCATAACGAGTAAATTACATCTATTTGAAATTACATTTGGGACTGCTGCTCTCTCACGGAATCAAGCATATTCTTTTTTATTTCCAGAAAGGCAGGCAACCTTTTTTGAATTTGAGTGAGGAATTCCTATCCTTATTCATATTGCAGTTAACTTAATTTACACACCACAGTCTAATAAAGCTTTAGCCTGTGAACAGACCTTTGGTCTAGAGGGGAACACAGAGAGCCCGTTCCCAGGCTAATAAAGCTTTTACAACCGTACGAGGCTATTGCTAAGGTCAATTTAATAAAACTTTTACAAGTGTAATTTTCCATTTTAGCTTTTGTTTTAGGAACCTAAAACAATAGCTACACTTGTAAATTACAGTTGTAAAAGTTTTATTAAATTGACCTCGGGTTTGCAATTGTGACGTTACGGCGGCCATATTGTGGTCAAGAACAATAGTGTTGCTATCCGCTTCAAAAAAAAATTTTTATTGTATCAACCACCAACATGGCAAACTAAGAATTGTTTTAGAGAACTTCATATGTCCAAAACATTCGTTTATTCACGAGGATACTTTCTGATGACTAACATAAGCCAAAAGCCTGCATTTCTGAATATGCCTGGTTTGAAGTCTATGAAAGCGATGTTTGACAGTAAAATTTAAACCCAATACTTGCTTTCTCTTACCTTCCTGATAAGATGTCTATTCAGTACATAAGAAAACGCGACAAAAAGCCTAAAAATAATGTTAAATAATTCTTATAATTCATCATGAAAGAAAGTAACTCAACAAAAAGTTTCAAATGTTGGTGAAGTTAGCTTTTCTACTCTTTTGATTTGCACGTGCCCTCGCATCCAACGAACCTAAATCTCTAGCTGCGAACCAGAATTGGAATACGCCCCATGATTGGCCTCTTAAAAAAATACATTGCTTAACTGACCAATCAGGTTATAAGGAAATCCAAATCCAATTCGTTGTCCTTTGAGGGTTGAGAACCAGCATTTCAGCGTTGCTTCGCAGACGTATTAACCGAAATAAAACTACCGGAATCGAGTTTTTGAAGCTGTTCAAAACACTCACAGCACCACTTGTTTAAACGTTACATGGTCTTTTTTACTGAGCGATTTCTTGCGCGTTTATCTGTCGAGAGCTATGGTCGATGAGAAAACAGACCATGGAATAACGAGGACACTTTGTGGTGATCAACATAGAGTTCGTGCAACTCAACATTGCCTGCATTTCTGAGGATACCGGAATAAAAGTCTATAAAAGCGATGGCTCGCCAGCGAAATTCAAACCTACTGCTTTAACACAATGATGTTTCCTTGATGGCAAGACGTCTATTTTGTGCACGAGAAAACGTGACTCTCATTTCCTTCGCAATAAAGAGTTTGTACTCAGTCGTGCTAGTCTACGTCCTTCACTGAAAAGCACTTTGACCAGGGGCCTTTTTTTATATTCCCCCACCCCTGGGGGTCACCTTTGCTCCGCCCGTTTTACAATCTCCCTGGTTTACCGGTGATCCTACCCAAAGGGGAAACTAATGACATGGGGGTAAGTGGAATTATGTGTATGGAGCCTCATTCACCCTAAACATCGGCATCCAGCAATATTTTCCTTGCTTAGAGTTGTTTCTCGTGTCAACTATGCTTCAAGCTTAGACAAGAGAGTTTTATTCTCTCTTGGCATAGAATATAGATCTTTACCCACAATAAGATTTAACATTACGGTCAATTACGTAGGCCAGATACGAGCTCAAGAGGCTTGTAAATTACACGACCCTCAATATAGAAGAGAAAGACTTTTAGTGTCATTCACCCAACCTCTTACCGGCACGAGTTTAATATTCCTAAAGCTTAATATACTGAGCTTAGCCAAAAGAGAATTACGCTAAAGATAAGCACATTGCAAGAGAAAGAATAAATGATCAACTAAACGAATTGATATCCCCACCGACAAAAATAAGTGGGGCGTAAAGGGGGGTCAGGGTAGTTACAACATCCTGCTGCTGGCTTATGCTGTGTTGTTATTTGCCTAACGTCATAAGCCCTACAGGATTTGTAACAGAAACAATTACGCTGTATAGCCGGCCCTGTTAGGGACCTTTGACACTATCATAATATATTAAAAACTTGTATAAATTTTGCCAAAATTTTGTCTGCGGAAAACATGAACAACTTATTTGTTTTAAAACCGGTTTAAACCCTTGAAGGGAAGGGTGGGGGATTGGTCCGTGGGTTAACTATATAATATGGCAATATAATTCTTTCACGGACATTTGTTTAGACTGTGTCAAGGGGGGTTACTCCATTTTATTACCCATATATGTATGTATCGCCCCAAAGGGTATGGTGTTTGAGCCGTTTTGGTCTTAAAACGGGTATATAACGAGTACAGTAACCCCTCCCCTCGAACAAAATAGAGCAGAGAGACGGCGCGGCAGTAGACAGGCTAACAGATGTTTCGCTTTTAAATACGCAGTACTCGCAATTGATTTAGCATCCTTCATAGTTATGGCTTTCACGCGTTCTTGCTTGACAAAGGATTTAATCTTCATCTTGTTATTGATTTTATGTCTGGTTTAAGTTTCAAAATAATTTGCCTTTAAAATGGCAAACTAAAGCTGGCGCGACAAGGACTCTTACAACATTGATCGTGATTGGCTCGTCGACCTTTGTTTCCGCGAAAAGCTAAAGATAGAAAGTCACAAGACTTTATTATTGGGTGTGGAGTGCATCGAAGGTCAAATTGCCTTTGTTCCTGAAGCCATCATGGATCTTACAACGCTGTTTTACAATCTTCGTGAAGAAGTGTCTTGCTCGGTGTGTTCGGACTTATTTACGGATCCTAAACATCTCTCCTGTCTGCACAGTTTCTGCTTGAAGTGCCTGCAACAATGGTACGAGACGTGCGGCGGCGGAGAGGCCATTAAATGCCCGAAGTGCCAAACCCTAAGCAGAGTGCCTGCGAGCGGTGATCTAAAAGATCTTCCAACCAGCTTCTATTTGAACGGCTTAATGGATGTTCTTGCCATCAAAGAATGCAAAAACACTCAAGTTACATGCGGAAACTGCGACAAAAAGAGTTCAGAAGCTTCGTATTGTTTCCAGTGTTGCATATTTTATTGCGAGCAATGCCTGGTTGGTCACAATATGATGCGAGACAAAAAGGAACACCGCGTATTGGCGGTAAAAGAGTTCCAAGACAAGGACTACGAGGATATATTGAAGCGACCAGCGTTTTGTTCAAAGGAACGTCACCAGAAAGAAGAGCTCAAATACATGACGTTTCTTACGCTCTGCCGAGAAACGGTTTGAACGCAGTGAAACTTAGTGCCTCCAGTACTAAACTCTAATTAGCTTCTTCTTCGGCTTTTGTTTTGTGAGCTTTATTTTAGATAGGAAGTATCGCAGAGAGAAGAGTTAGATGCAAAACTAAACGTAATTGCTCAGCTAGACGAAGACTGTGCTAAAGTGATTCAACAAAGTGAAATCGCCAGGAGATATGTCCAAAGGTTTGCTGATGGCTTGATCAAAACAATTCAAGCAAAAATGAAAAATATTTTTACCGCTGTGGAAAACCAAACGAAGAAGTCACTCGAAAGTTTAAAAGCTAAAAGAAGTGCGATTCAGCAACAGATAAATGCCACCGAATCATCACTGGAGGAAGCTGATAAACTTTTAAAACGAAGCACCACCGCGGAAGTTGTTCAACTCAAAAAATTACTACAAACAATTTTCCAAGGATTGAATCCAACCGAGCCTATTGTTCATGACCCCAGTAGTCTGCAAACTTTAGTTTTTGTGGAAAATCGGAAGACGATTGATACCGTCAACGGGGAAGAACTTGGTTTCCTGTGCATGGAAGAAGGTTATCGAAAAAAACCGAGCAAATTTTTGGCTGAAGGTAAAGGACTGAAAGAAGGAACTGTTGGGCGTAAAGCTCAATTTAATTTGATCACAAGAAACGGGAAGAGAAAGCAGTGGTATGATGAAGGGGACCGTGTCACGGTAGAGATCAAGGACGAGCAAGAACGAGAATGCGTGACCCAAGTGAAAATAGATGATAAAAAAAATGGAATCTACAAAATCACTTATTTTCCCATAGTTCACGGGACATTCAAATTATTAGTTAAGGTAAACGGGGAACATATTTCTTGTAGTCCTTTTACTGTGATTTTAAAACCATTTCAAGTCAAACTTGTTTCATCTTTTGGAAAGGAAGGCTCGGGTGATGGAATGTTTAAGTATCCTGAGGGGATGGCCGTGAGTGATAGGGACGAAATAGTAGTGGCTGACAGCCAGAACCATCGGGTTCAAGTGTTTAACAGTAATGGTACTTTATTAAGATCCTTTGGTCGAAGAGGTGAAAATGCTGGAGAGTTCAAACGCCCTATTGGAGTAGCCATTAATAAGGACAGGAATATTTTTGTAGCAGACAATGACAACCACAGAATACAGATTTTTAGTTGGGAGGGGAGGCACCTGGGTTCATTTGGTGGCAAAGGACACCTTGATAGTCAGCTCTCTTTCCCTCGGGGTTTATCCTTAGATAGTACTGGTAATGTTATTGTTGCTGATACAGGTAACAAACTCATTAAGATCTTTACCCCGGATGGTAGGTTTTTAATGAAGATAGGTATATCGTGGTTGTTCAGTCTTCCTGTTCACTGTGTTCAGTGTGGTGAATATTTTATAGTGTCAGACTCAAATACAAACCATATCGAAGTATATCACAGGAAGGGACGTTTGCAGTGCCTGTTTGGTAGGCAGGGGGAGGGGGACGGGGATTTTAAGTGTCCACGTTTTCTGTCAGTGACTCAGTCAAAGCAACTGTTCGTTTGTGATATGAATAATCATAGAATACAAGTCTTTGAACTAGATGGGAAGTTTGTCGGAAAATTTGGAACAAATGGCACTAAATTAGGAGAATTCAAGGAACCATTCTCAGTAGCTGTTCTAAGTAATGATCAAATTGTTGTGTGTGACAAAAATAATCATCGAATTCAGATATTTCAATAAAAATTGTCCTTTTTTCCCGGAGGAAAGGAGTAAGCAAATCTCTCTTTGATTAATATTTGTATTTGTCAGCTGTACAGCAGTGCTATAATGTTATTGTACGCCACATTTAGCCGAGGTGAACCCGTGTGGTCTTAAATCAAGTTATGTACATAACTTATTTGTTAAAGGAGTGAGTTAATTTGAATATTCTTTTAATAAAGTTCTGTATTCCATAAACGATCTTTTTTCTTTAATTCTTACTAATATTCATTCTCAACCAAGTTACAGAAAGGTGGCAGTCAGGGGTAAGCTTTCTTTGAACAGAAATACGTTATTGCGAAATATCTATTTGTGCTTCAAAAACTTCTATATATTTAATAGGCATACTCTCGTGGAAGGACATGTAAAATTCATCTGACGACCGAAAAGTGAGGGAAGGAATTGGAATTCAGCATTGGGGGAGTTGAATGACTGAAACAATGGAATGCTAATTAGGATCGACAGGTCATCATTTGCATTTGCAAATCAATTAGAAAGCGAAAAATTCAACGAAAATCTTACAGATGCCAGAATAGATTCTCAGCCTATTAAAAAGACCAAAAAAGAGTTCATTTGATAGAAGTTACCCAAATACGGAGTTTTTCAACCAAGAAAACACCGAAAACAATACATTTCGAAATATTAAGACTGCTTAACAATTGAAGAATGAGTCATATAAACAGTTCTTACCAGTATGCAATTACGTAAAATTTCCAGTGCCCTTCATGTCGCTTTGGAATCACTCTTCTTTAGCAACGTACGGTTATCAACTGTGGAAACAGCCGAGCTTAAATAACAACAACGACAGTGACGGCGACGAGAACGTTTTATATATAAAAAAGCAATTCGCCACTTGTACATCTCCCATAATACACCTTGTTTGCCCACCAAAATTTTGCATAAACTTTGATTTTCATTTCTCCTAGGTATTAAAGCCGTTCTAAGAGAAATTGAAAACAATGCTTTTGCCAAATTTTGGGGGGCAAATATGGTATATTTTGGTTAGCAACACAACAACTCTGCACATGCACCATGCTATTTTGAAAATTTCTTTGCCGTCTTTGCACGGCTACGACGTGAAAATGCCTAATTAAAATTTCACGTCTATTGGAGGACGTAAACAAATGACACCAATTTTCTGTTTCTTTACCTGTACTTTGATACAGTCCTTTTGGATTTATTAAATTCCTGCCAGAAAAATTCGCCAAAACTTTGACAAACTGAATGACATGGAATAACGGCGATGAAGTTTGCAACACCGTGAATTCACGTTTTTGTTGCCGCTTTAGCATCGACGACGGCGACGGCAGCGAAAACGTCACTTTTAAACTTTGCCACGTTTATTCCAATTCGTTGAAAATGTCAAATTTAAGCGAATTTCCGTGCAGTTGATTTCTTGGGGACCGCACTCACGTTTAGAAAGAGACAGAGAAATTCATTGTCTCGTGTTTGTGTCCTTTATAAAGCGTGAAAATAGGCATTTTCATGTCGTAGTCGTGCAGTGACCAAAACGAAATTTAATGTACAAAAACGCGTGATGCACGTGTAAAGTTGTTGTTTTGCCAATCTAAACTTATTGCATTTTTGCCGTTCTCGCTGCCGTCGCTGTCCTCGTTGCTGAAGCTCTTTAACCCTTTCACTGCCAAGTTTAGCCAAAAGCAAATTTCGACCAAATTTCCAAATTTTAGTTTGTGAAATTTTGAAAAACAAATAGCACTATGTGAAAGTACAAGCAGAGAGGTTTCATTTGAGTGGTCAAATCATAGGATTTTGTCCGCTGACTCAAAGGTTACAGTCACATTACAAAACTCCATCAACCACTCTGGCAGTGAAAGGGTTAATGTCTTGTGCAGACATGAACGCGCCTTTATGGCTGTCGCATTTGGTCGATAGAGTTGTTTATTGTTTTTAACCATAAATTGAGACGTCTACACGAGTTTGTTGCAAACGAGTTCATACACCCTCACAATGTATTTGTATAACTCCGGGGCATAACATTTCTTGACCAACCTTTAAAGTTCGGGAGATTTAGTAGTCATTTATCAATCAATACAATCAAACTGGAAAAACATTATTTGGCAATACTATAGAAATGAAATACTCAAGGTACCAAGTTTTTGAAGCTGTTCAAAGCACTCGCTGCATCACGTGTTTGAAACATTGCATCGCCTTTTTCATTAAAGCGGATTTCTCGCGCGCTAATTGGTCGAGAGCTAAATGGCCGAAGTAAGTACAGACCACGGAAAAGAAGTGATGAAGGTGCAATTTGTTTCCCACTCTCTTGCCCGCGCAATCCCGGAGAAACTTTAACAGAAATCGACGTTAAAAACTGTCAGTGTTACTGCGGCTCGTGGTTCCCACTGAGGTTTTAAAAAATGGACCACAATTTTCTATGGTCTGTGGAGAGTTTGTACTGTCGCAATTTGTAATAATCATCGCACTTTGTAATACCTGTCGCAATTTGTAATAAATCCATCGCACTTTGTAATACCTGTCGCAATTTGTAATAAACCGGGTCGCACTTTGTAATAAAAAAGCTGTCGCAATTTGTAATAACAGTCCATCGCACTTTGTAATAAACTAAGCTGTCGCAATTTGTAATAATTCCATCGCACTTTGTAACAATTTTTTGAGTGTGATTCTAATCACTTCTTCAACATTAATATAATGCCAAAATATGCATGGTACTTCATAAACAAGATGACTACGTCTGCTAGCACGTAACATCTCCGTAACCTTTTCTTTGGTCAAACATGCATGTCTTCCGCTATAACTTTTTCTGCCTTGATTAATCACGTGACCAACTAGAAACGCTTTATGAAAGACATGAAACTTCCTGTGACATATCATCAAAAAGATATGAATCATGTTTAAATTAAAAAAAATATTTAAATAACAAAAGCAACATTTAACAACAGAAAATTCATGAATAACCTGGCATTTGTCGTCCAAATTCATGTCTGCTTGCCACGTGACACGTGAAGTCTTCGGGGGGGGGGGGG